TTCTAAAAGTTCCCTGAGAGGAAAGGAAACCCATGAGACGACACAAGGTTGTCCTGCCTAATTGTTTATGACTGCAGCTTAGATTCTGTTTTTTATAAAGAGGATGGATGCTGACTTGGTGGCACACAACTTTAGTCCCAGTGCTGGTAGGGAGGGGCAGGCGGGTCTTTTATGAATGGTGGGATTTGGGCCAGCCAGGGACATAGGAGAGGAGCCCTGAATCACAAAGGTCGGGGGAGAGGGAGATACAGGAGGGGGGGGGGAGAGGAGGAAGGGGGTACACAGTGTTGAAGGAGGCACTAATTTGTATTTGGTTTTATTTTCAGAACTTAGAGTTTCCATTCTCTATCCAATTCCTTTGGGTGAATGACAACAGCCAAGCCTTAGCCGAACTATTTAACTACTGTAGCTGTCAGGGTGTTGGGAGGTATCTGTAGAGTCCTGCGACAGTTCCTAGGTATGGAGCAGAGCCTTACTGCCCTGTGTGCAGTTCTGTTTTAGACTGAGAGGGAGGTAAGGTTTACTGACACCCAAGTCATGTCACAGACTTGCTACACATGGCGCTTCACATTTCTTTTACTTCTCTTCCTCACAACATGATTAAAATGGACAGATTTTTTATAGATAATGGCAGTAAAATCTAATTGCTAAAAAGTATATGCCTGATCTTTTTTTTTTTTTTTTTTTTTTTTTTTGAGGCAAGGTCTCATGTAGCTCAAGGTGACATTAAATTATGAGGCTGGCCTTGAACTCCAGAATGCTAGGATTGCAGGCAGGTGACACCATGCCCTTATCAAATCTTCAGTTTTATCATAGGTGATCAACAGAGCAGCACTGTTAAAATTTATGTAATAACCGTGGTAAAAGAACCTAAGTTGTTTTTACAGTGAGTTGAATATGCCCTCATTTCCTACCCATAAGGCTTATTGATCACAATTTGTCATGTGTAGGAAGAGAGAAAGGAATCCCATGGACATATTTGACATGGCTAGACATCGGGTACAAGCTCCTGTCAGAAGACCGTCACCAAAGGGCTTGGATGCTACTGCTTTTCAGAATATTCATGACTTCAATGAGCTCAAAGAGAGAGGTGAGCATAAGGTGCCATATCTGCTAGGCTCTAGGTCACATCTTGGGGTAGGGCAGGTAGAATCCCATCACACAAGCTTGTTCTTCTGGGACTCCCTAGTAATACTGCCAAGTTTATGTAAAGCTTTTCATTAAAGAACATCTATTTTGTGTTCTTTAATTTTATATTTGTTGTAATGTCCTTTGAGGTTCTGGTTTACAGTTAAGGTTGTTACAATTGTATTTTTAATGCTGGTGACCATAAAGTGCTGTGCCAATGAGCTTTACCTCAGCAAGGTTCAGAGTTTCCATATACTCCCTGCCTCTGCCCATGCACAGCCTTCTCCATTACGGACACCTGTACCCAGAGGCACAGTGTTAGGACTGCTCAGCCTGAATGGACATACCATTGTTTCTCAAATGGTTTGTTTTGCATTAGAGCTTATTTTTGATGTGCATGCCCTCACTTTGGATAGCTGTATAGTTACATATACTCACCATTGTAGGATCATATGGAGTACTTTCACAGCCCTAAAAGTCATTGGCTAAACCCATTCACCTTCCCTTCTCTTGTTCCTGTAAGTTTCCACAGTTTGCCTTATGCAGAGTGTCATAGTCGATACAGTTGGATTCAGCCTTCTCAGATTGGTGCCTGTCACTCAGTAACACACTCAGTTCTCCTCAGTACCTTTTCATGGCTTTTTATAGAAAATGAGACCCCCCCCCCCCCTTTTTTTTTGTTTGCTGTAGTCCATGCTGGCCTAGAACTCACTGTGTAGCCCAAGTGACCTTGAGCTGGTAGCAGTCTTCCTGCTAGGACTGCAGGCAGAAGAATTAATTCCATTCCTTGTTTAATTAAAAACCACAGTTAATCTGTTCATTTTCTTAAGAACATCTTGGATGCTTGCTTCTGTATTTTACAGTTAATAAATTTGTGTACAGATTTTTGTGTCTAAATCTCAGTTGAAAACAAGGTTTAACTTAGTTATGTAATTTTTGCACCAGATTCAGAAACACGAGTGGATCTGAAGTTATTGTACCCAGATCCTCCACGTGATCGTCACACCTTAGAGATTCAGCAGCAGGCCCTGCTACGAGAGCAGCAGAAGAGGCTCAATAGAATGAAAATGCAGGAAAGTGCGGGAGGTATGGTGCAGACCCTGCGTCTTCACACGGGGCCTAGCACTCTTCTTTCTTTGCCGTTTAAGGCGTTGATTTTGTTTGTGTGTTTGGTTAAGAAAAGATTTGTTTTTGATTATATGTCTGTATGTATGGATGTAATTTGGGGCGGGGGGCATGTACAAACGAGTGAAAGTACCTTCAGAGATCAGAAGGGAGTGTGGGATCCCTGAAACTGAAATTACAGGTAGTTGTGAGCCTCTAGGTAGGTACCAGGAACCAACTCTTGACCTGTAAAATCAGTGAGCCTTCTTGTCAGCCCCCACCCCCATTTTTTTTAAAGACAGTCTTCTTTCTATATTCTTGACTGGCCTGGAATTCACTGTGTAGACTAGGCTGCCTTTGAACTTGGAGCAGTCATCCTGCCTCTGCTTTCTGAGGCTAGTAGTATGGGCATGTGCTACTGTGTCCAGCCTTTTCAGCTTTTTACCATCTCTTGATTTGATTTTAATCCCGGGCAGGACATTGCACTGGCAGCTCTATGCTCATGGGAGCCTTTTGCTATTTAGTTTGGCAAAGGAACACATTCCATAGCACACTCTGATTAGTCCAGTAAGGGTCATATGTCCCTGGTTGGGAGCTCAGATGTGGTGCACGCCTTTAATCCCAGCAGAGGCAGGTGGATCTCTGAGTTTGAGGCCAGCCTGGTCTACAGAGTGAGTTCTAGCTAGCAAGCCAAGGCTACACAAAGAAACCCTGTCTTGAAAAACAAAACAGACAGAAATCTGGGAAATATCAGATTTGGGTGTATGTTTTTGTACAACTATCCAATTATCTAAAATATTATCTAAGTCTAGTAGTTTAATGGTATTAAGGTGCCCATGAAGATCAGAGACTGACCTACACTACCATGATGTATGGGCAGCAAGCTAGGCTGCTGCTCTCAAGGGGCTGAGGACACTGTAGAAATCAGAGGCCAATTAAATACAGTGTGAGCACTGTAAAGGGGTCTGAGCCTACAGGAATGTTTAACTAGCAATGTGCACAGTAAGTGGGCCTAGAGGTAGGTGGAGTTGTCTCAGAGTATCCATGGGCCTTACCAGGTGAGTATTGTGATTATACCTGTGTCCCATTTGCTTTGCCTGCCTGGATGCCATTGAGAGTAGCCACAGAAAAGGAGTTATAAAACAAAGCCAGAAAAGATGATCTTGTTATTTTTTTGAATCTTGAGATCCTCTTGGCAGGTTGATAATGGCTTACAGAATCTGAGGAAGGTCCCTGACCTCAGGAGGTATGACAGGAGAATGTGATCTAACACTTTAGGCTGAGCTCATAGATCAAGACTTGGACAAGCACTTGTATAGGAGACATTATCCCTCCTCATGGTACAGAATTTTTTAAGTATCAAATGATGATCTGTTCTTGTGGGATTTAGGCACAGTAAGACTAACGTAGCCCCCAGATGGGCACAGATACTTCTTACAGTGAATATTTATCTGCCTCAGCAAACACTGATAAAGTGATCGTAAGATATGGCCTAACTATGGAAAGTCACAGAGATAAAAGGATGTGGGCCACCGCTGCACCCCTTTACTCCCAAAGACAGCATCTAGAGAGAAATGTGGCAAGGTTGCCTTGCTGCAGTTGCCCTGGGATACCTGACCTGGTGCTGGCTATCTATGGTTTAACTTACTCCAACCCCCTGGTTAACTCAGTGGCTTTGTGCAGAGACTACAGGAGCAAGACAGATGGTTTTTTAAAAAAAGGAAATTCTGTATTAATTTTTTCTTAGATATCAAAGTTCATAAAAATTTTATTAATGGCTAGGCATTGGTGGTGCACGCCTTTAATCCCAGCACTGGGGAGGCAGAGGCAGGCAGATCTCTGTGAGTTCGAGGCCAGCCTGGTCTCCAGAGTGAGTACTAGGATAGTCTTCAAAGCTACACAGAGAAACCCTGTGTAGCTTCAAAGCTACACAGAGAAAACCAAAACAACAACAACAACAACAACAACAAAAAAAAAAAACAAAAAAAATTATTAATGAGTC